TTCTAATCGGATTTATCGAAAGTCTTAGTGCCTGTGACTCTTTTTCAACCGATCATCAACAGTATTCCGTGGTGAGACCCTTTGAAGTGAGCAAACAAATTCGCAGCAAACGTTGCTTTACCTACGGGTATTTAACACCATTTGGATATGAAAGGATGAAAAAATTAAAGTGCTACACAATGCTGAATGGTAGACAGCATGAAGGCGCATCTTTTGATGAGTTAATATTCACAAAATCACTTTAAATCGCTTTACAAGGCAACCGTTTAAACATGCAAAAAGTAAGTTTGAGAAGTTACCGGGGAATCATCCTGTTACAGAGAAGCAATTTTTCGAGTTTCCGAATAGCTGGCTGTCAGAGTTATCTTTCAATTGTTAAAAATCTGACTGTGTAACTAAAATTTAACAAAACGTTACCTTGTTACTAGCTATGACATGTTGTTAAACACGAACCACGTCCCAAACAGTCAGTATTGACGATTCACTGGCTAAATCATCTGGTAGGCGTAGCTGCTCAAAACCTGAGGGTAGAAAGATCGCTGATAGATGGCTAGTATGAAAATTGTTCTCTAGAACAATATAAAGACCTTCCAGTTGGAGAAGGTCAATTAAGAACCTTGAAAGGTAATGCATTTAATTTGATTAAAAATTGTGCATAGTAAGCAAAGTGGCGTGTGGGATCGTCAAGCTTTCAAAATCTGCACATTTTTGCCAGGATATGGCAGACTCACAGGTGACTTTTGAAGTTCGAAAGACAGACATGCCCGACGAGATGCAACAGGAAGCGGTGGACGGCGCCAAGCACGCCTTTGAGGTTTCCAAAGACGTCGCCAGTGTGGCAAAATTCATTAAAAATCGGTTCGATAAACGCTTTTCTGCAACGTGGCACTGCATCGTCGGACAGAATTTTGCAAGGTGAGTGAATTTTACGCGAATTAATGATTTTTAAACGCCGAAGCACTTTTAACTATCCTTTTGAATATTTCACCTTCCTATATCCTGATTGATTGCATCAAAAATCGAGGTCTGTTAGGTATACAAGTACCACTAGACACTTAACACCAATCCGTTGTCCAGACGAAAATTAGGTAATCATTTTTAAAATAATTTTTTGCACTTCCAGCTTCATGAGGTAATAGCAAGCCTGTATAATCAGTCGTATTGTGTTACTGGATGGTAAATTTTACGATAAAGGTTAAATAAAGGGATGGAAGAGTAGGCTGCATTTTAAAGTAGTTAGAAAGAAGGACAAATTTTCCGGACTGTCATCAGAAAAACGCTAGAGAAAAGCACTTTATCGCCTTAGTAAAGACCTTAAACTAAAAAGTAAAAAATGGGGTTGGGAAATGTCTGCAGTGCGATTTTACTGCTTAAACACAACGAGAGCGAATCGCTTTACGGAAACCGAGACAGTGAAATTTGATGCCAGAGACACACTACGGTGGTCGTCATTTGGTGGCACGCAAAAGCACCGAGTCCAAAACGTCAGCGTCATAAGTTCGCGGCAATTTCCATTAGTCCCCGAACTCGATATTGTAGTAGCTACCAATGAGACCACAAGAGTTTAGTAGGCGGCAGGTTCATAGACGATGAACTGATACGTGGCATTTGCTCGTGAAGGTAAGCTGGCAAAAATGTGTTTGGTCGAGATGAAGTGAGTCCTCACAGACCCTAGCAAAATTCGATAATTTACAGGAATTAATCGTGTCGCCTATCTAACGATGTTAAGGGATTTTCGCAAAACTTAATCTCCTCTACTTAAAATATCTGACCATGGTGAGAGAGGCATTTAACTAGGAAGAGGCAGGGAATAAACACAAAAACTGTCCATTTTCCAGATTCTCGTGCACAATTTCGGCAAAAATTATCATGTTGTCAGATTTTAAATTGATTTAACCCGGCTGTCCCATTTGATGCCCTGGGGAAGCTAAGAAGTTAGGAGATTTGAACCTCTGCCGAAATAAATTGATGACGTTTAGTTAAAAAGCCCTTGTGCTCCTTCAAGGGAGGAATCTCCTGGCTTCATGATACATCATTTCCTAATATATGTAATTATGCATTTGGGAATGCATGTCCTAAAAATTCACAGCTTCATTTTCACACACATAACATAATTTTTCTAAAATTATTAGCACACTTCATTTCCTAAATACTTTGAAAGCAGACAGATACAATGTTGCAGAGTCTTGGGGTTCAATTTAAATTTCCTCGCTAATTGCAGCCCCACAGCAGGGTTCCCTTCGACGTATTGGCAACTGATTTTGCTTAAGTCACAAGTCTTCACAATCGCTCCCCTCTCGAGCATTCGCTCAATCAGGTCTTCCTGAATTTACTCACCATTATACACATTTGCACACGGGGACGTCAGATTGGTTGGGGGCAAGCACTGCATGAGTATTTAGCGTAACAAATGTGCTTTCTCAAAAACTGAAAAATGATCCGACCGCAGGAGAGGATGGAGGTTCGTAGTTCCAAGATGTCCATGGATATGCAGCGCATGGCGATGGATACCGCCCAGAGGGCGTTAGAAGAGGACGCAGAACCACGAGCCGTTGCGAGCTCAATTAAAAGGAAATTCGACCAGCTCTACGACCCCCATTGGCAGTGCATAGTGGGAAATCACTTCGCAAGGTGGGTCTCCACAGGTTAATAGTTTTCGTCCGCCATGTCTTGCAGTTGCCGGAAGTGACCTTTTAAGTCGTTTCGCTCCCTAAATTCACGTTAAATTTGCACTTAGTACTACATTATTTGCAATGAAAACCTCTCACTACATGATTCCTCCAAGAAATGAAATGTTACACAAACTTTTGCGTATTCCCAACGATTAATAATAACCGTTATCAGCACAGGAGATTTCAGTGTCACAAGAACTTCTTAAAAAATTAACCTACCTACAGTCCTACTGGAACAAAGGAAGTAGCCAATTAATCAGCTAATTCCTGTCACTAGTTCTGCTGCCATCTACTTTGCCCTGACATGTTTTTCGTGCTAAAAAGACTCAACTTGTTGGACAAGCCCTTGAATATGTATTTTTGCTATAAAAAAAATTCGTTTTTTAGCTTAGTAACTATTTAGCTGGTATTCTTTGGTCATTTCGTATCCAAACGTTCTTTTCACGTATATTCAAACACAGCCCTGTTAGATGTGTTGACGAAAACGTTTATGGGTCCGAGAAAAAACGTCCCATCTCCAGAATATCAGATCTATTTCTCCAGGTAGGCCTATTGCTCAAACTATGAAGCAGATTTACAGGAAAAAAAACAACAAAAGAAAAGGTGCTCCAATCTATCCTTTGTGGAAATCAAAAATTAATCGCAGCGCTTGACAGCCGATCAACCAATCAGGACTAAACGATGCAGCATTTCCTTAAACCAATTTGATAAAATCGTGCATCTCTTGAGTCAAAAGATCTTGCTTAATCATCTCTTTTATGTTGCTGCCTCGTAAGTCAACGTAAAATTTTAATGTTTATGACATGCGAACTGCAGTTCGTACGTTGTAAACAACACCAAACCATGACGCAGAAGGCAAGCAGACTGATGTGACCTTAAAGCCACCCGAACCAGGCATTAATTTAATTAAGTTATATGAGGTAAGTCATCATTTGAACCCGGATAGATCAAAACATAAAGTTACTTCACAAACTACTCAATTCCTTTTTGTCCCTCAATTCCCCATGCTTCGGTTTTCACTGACGCTTTTTCAGTAACTTAGCAGAGCGAATGTTCAGTATCAGAGAAGTTTTGGGTAAATTCCAAAGTACAGTTATTTAAGCAAGATGTTAGTCCTTCAAGTCAGATACTTCTTGAAATCCAAGGTAACGAGACTACCAAAAGGCAGATCCGTGAATTCCTCCGACAGCTATGCAACTCAAAGCTACTTAGGTTGGAATTTCCCGCACAGAAATGATTGAGAAGCGACCCAGGGGACAATGAGGGACGATTAAAATTAATTCAAACTGTCAGATGATTTTCCGCTAGATGAATTAAATTGACTTGTAACAACTTGTCAGTGGGGGCTTATCGATGAAAGTTAATATGAGGGGTTTATCCGATAACTCGTAGTCCCCGCAACTCTTCTTGACTCCCACCTACTTCCAACCCAGCCCATTCAGACGGCGTTTTTAAAGTAAACCCACGCACATACCAACGTGACACCTTTTGCCGGGCGTGCGAAGGAATGTTTGTCTTAGCATTGTTGACGTTTCAAAATCACGAATCGGTTTCTCTCTTAAAACAGACAATGACACGAATTCGGAATAAAACGGTTTAATGCTTTGTCGTCTAATCCTTTACATGTATGAGTTCTCATAGATGCATTCCCCATCAGTGTGGATCAAAAATGTAAGATACTTTCGTTAGTCATGGCAATTAGTGCCGAAAAGCGTCTACGTGTTCCGAAATCTCTCCAACCAAAGTCGTGATTGTAGTGCGCCAGTTATGGCCGAATGGAAGTGTCTTGTGGTGAAAAAAAAAACATTGGCTATGCGGTATAAACTTAATCTACATTACAAGCCAAATACTAAAATGATACGCCAACTCTATTGCCCTACAATTTCGGCACTAGTGACTGTTGACAGCACCAAGACAGCTCGAAACATCGGAACAATGTGTGCTCTCAAAAGGCACTTTTTGCAAACGTCTTCTTGATGTAAAGGCTTTAATAGAAGCCCTTTCCGATTTTATGTTAATGGCGTTGCGCGTTGGGGGTCTAGATTTAGTATGTGCTGGCACATCCAACAGAGTTTAACACTGTAATTCAGGTATCGAGGAGTGGAATTGAATGACTGTGAGAAAACGCAGCAAACTTATAGCATTTGCTATTCCGACTGATGGAAGTGTAGTCCACCGGTAGTAAAACTAAATGGCGAATTCACTACTGGACATCTCTGTGTTCCATTTCTATGTTGAGTACCCGAATTAGCTACTGAGTTACTTCTGCCATTAACAAAGTTGAAAACGATCATCAATAGCTATTCGGGCGACCAGAGAACTAAGCTCCAGCTTTCCACGTAACTATACATTTCATCGAATTGGGGATTACTTAATCTAGGTTTGGACACTGGATACAAGCCAACTTAAAATTACTCAATTTTGGATCAAGCTACTTCAGATTTTTTTACTAAACTTGTTTTTTTATCGCAAACCTTTATTCGATTGAAAAAAGTCGATTCCAGATTCCACATGAGAACTACACACTTTTAGAATTCTTCAAAATGACTACTTTTCAGCTATGTGACGCATGAAGAGAACAAATTCATCTACTTCAATCAAGGCAAAATTGCAATTCTTCTGTGGAAAACAGCGTGAAACCATTTGACAAAAGTAAAAGCCAAGCATAATCACTGGATGTGCAAAGCTAAATACATGAATTCCCCTGATTCATTGAATTTTCTTTTTATTCCTCTTTGTTTCGAATAAAAAGAAACAGGAATTTGAGTTTGCCTTGAAGTAAGAGGCCAGCTGTTTCAACGAGCTACTTCTACAACATTGAGGGCATTAGTACAGGTAGACGCACATGATGGGGAGATATCACGTCAAAGTCACCAATTTATTGCGGCCCAGCACAACACGAAGAATTCAGAGGACAAATGAGACGAGAGAGCGACAACCGTTTACCAGATAGATCAACCAAGTTGTGCTGGGTCGTGTGCGTGTACCAAAGGTAGTGTATCTGTTTTCGTTGACTGATACAGTCTGGATGAACTGGTAAAAATTGAGATGTCTATTTGGTCAGATTGGTAATGGGGGTAGTGGTGGTGGTGCGTGCACAGGGGTGGATGATCAGACGGTTCCCCACGCCTGACGGACGCGCCGTGACAAGGGGACGAGTGTGTGATGCTGCGATGACCGAGTTAACACCATCCAACTACGCATATAAACATTCAGCACATACACAACCACGCTTCATAGCTTATACAGAATTTGGTAAACAAGTCGGAACATGGGATAAACAATATGCGTACACGAAATTAGGTTATTCAAAGCTTTTGTGAATTCTGAATTATAATTTCTCGAAATACAAGGGAGCGAGACTTGATCTTTTGACCCTAGTCCCTTGAATGAAAGTATGGCGAAGCTGTACTTCTGGTAAATATGGACTTGAAAGGAGACTACGCCCACGAATTGGCCAATTCTATCGCTAATGCATCTGCTATCCAGGGTAAGGCACAAATCAATGTTTACAGTTGTCGAATGGCCAGATGTCTCGCACCTACATCGGAACTGTTGTGGCCCGATGTGACATGACGTACCCGGAGTGAAGGAGAAGACCGAAGGCGACGGTGACTCAACCACCGCTGAATCTGGGTGTGCTGAGCAGCGACTGCTCAGGTCTACACATAAGTCGTGAGCGTGAACCTCATAGAGAAGTGCTTATATAGCTGGTCGACGGGAATCCGGGGTTTAGTTAAACAGGTTCACGGGGAGACGGTTTACAGGGAGGAATCGGGGTGTGAAGTTCAGAAACGAGGTCAAGCGGCACAGGAGGGTATCCGAGAAGGCGAATAAGAATGGTGGTGTCATCCGCAAACCGTGGTGACGATCGCGAATTCACATGACACCATAAAGTGCAATGGCGTCAACGGAGTTAGTGTTGCAAACGCGTGGGCGGACAGTACTGCCAAACTCACAAACCAAGCCGAGAACACGCGGGTCTGCAGATTCCCTGTGGAGAGCTAAGGTCCGTCTTTCCAAGAATGAGATTGAGCGCGGCCTTCGAGTATCAAGTTCCCGGGCCACTTACAAAGTCAATTAGCAGAAACACTGCATTGCAATCTGTAGATAAGGGCCAGACGCCCAAAACTGCAATGCCAACTTCGTTCTCGACATGCCCCAACACGGGCAACCAAGTCCGATACAATAACAGAATTAGAGAAGGTGATGAACGATTTCATTGGCGGTGAACTCACAACCCATTAGTGGCTCAGAAATTGGCAAAGGCCAATATTCACGATTTTCTTAGAAATAAAGTGTATTCGTGAAAATTGATCAACTTTCTACAAATAGGTAATTTGCATTACGAACAACTACGTCATGATAGTCATTGCCTGAACTAGCACTCCAGGACAGTGCGAACAGATGGGTAGTTAATGAGGGGTGTACACGTAAATTAAAGTACGGAAGGTAAGAGTTAGCAGGTTTTGTGAAAACATTTCAGACGACATGGCAAGGCTACAGACTTCAAAATATCGTATTCACATTTGCCGTTGTTAGTTTAAAATTTTAAAAGGGGCGACCTTCTACGGGGCCACAAAAGTTCGTTTCCTCATAAAGCGAAGCGCAATATCGGAATAATTTAAAATTTGTGAAAACGGCGTCTGAGAATTTACTCTGGGGAAGAGAGGGCTGTTAATAACGTATAAGCAATCTCAAGAGTAATAAACTGTTGCAACCAGCAAAATTGTACTTAAGCGTAAAAGCACGCCATGATCTGACCTCCACACGCAAATTTCTGGCACATTACTTTCCAAGGACACGGGGCATATTTTTGCTTGAGCTACGTGTGTTTCGAAAAGTGACCTTGCGTGAGTACGAAAGTGCTTGCGACTGTGGAAGCGAGGCTAGGTTAGATTGTCCAGGACACGCTCATTTACAAGACCCATCAAGTAAGGAAGAAATGACGGACAAAATCCAGCAAAAAACATGAATATTTGTGTGTACACATACCACCGTAAATTAGACGCCACAATACTGTAAGCAACATCGGTGGAGGCGGGATACGAAATCGACAGAAAGGACAGAGAAAACGTGATTTTGGGGTATCGAATGAGATCTCATGGAAAAAAGCCCATCAGCTGAAAGACACTGGGGGGACCAAGATGGGCGCGGCTAGAACCTGGTAAAGAAGGGTCTCCGTGGGTACCGCGTGGTGAAGTGAGATCCCGGGGCGTCGGGATCAAATTCATCACCGGAAGGACTGTGATACTCCGTACCGTTCATGCCATCATCTCCACTGGAGAAAGGAAACGGGTCAGTGCGCGGGGCGAGGGAGTTAGGCGGAAGTAAATCTCGAGCGGCCTGCTGTAGTCGCTGAGTGATTGACCTCTTTTGACGCTCTACGGTGACAACTGGGATTTGGACAAGTTGAAGCGGCGTCTTTTGATCACGGAGAGCACATTGAAGATTTAACATCTAAAGGGAGACGTTTAAACTTCCCCAGTTAAACGTAAAGAGGCCACAAATCTGACCATGGGTGGAACGTCCGGTGATGAGGGGGCTGACATAACAGCTGATACTGTGAACAAACTTAGGTTACCGGTTAAGAAGCATACAAAATTGACTGTCGGAGGGTTTTAGGATCACTTGTGGCAGTATTTAACAGGACGTACAACCAAACCAGTCTATATCCGATTCCAAAAGGCATGAGAATCGTGGAAGGGTGAAAACCATGAGAACGTGTTGCACCAAATGAAAACAGTAGCGGGCCTAGCTACCAAGGACATCTTGGAAATACTGTTGAAAGCCATCTTCAATAGCCTAGGGCCACACATTTGACACTCTTTTGCCTCTCTGAATGACTACAGAAAACTGGCAAGGAAAAAACACGATTGAGAAATCAATCTCACCTGGCCGCGCATAACGGCTATCTGCTTCTCAAAGGTGCGTCGATCAAATCCCGGATCAGTCTAGGTAAAAAGCGAATGATGCAAGTGACAACGCTCAAATTCAACAAGCATAAAACCAACTATATCCACAAGAACAAACGACAGAGATTATTGTTAAGTTCAGTGGCAACACCAAATAGGTCTATCGACGGTCAGCACGGACCGTAATTCTTCCTTTTGTTAAGGATGCATCTCCGAACGTTGGCCAATTTGTCACAAAAAAAGTGAACAGACAATTCGGCTCAACCTGGCAGAGAGCACAACGAGATACTTGGGATCGAAGTCAGCTTTTTAGAATCTTCTACCCTGAGCCATTCGAAAGGGATATTTGCGATTAGCAGACACTAAATAATACCCACTATACATCAGCACATTGACAAAATGAGGGAAGCAAAACACAGTTTAATAAGGGGCTGTTGGGCTACGGAATCATAACAAGTCTGACAGCTCAAATAACCATTGGTGCACGACAATGAGATCCCAGTGTTAAAATAGTCAAATAAATACAGTTAATTTGGCCGAAATGGTTTGATTGTTGTGGGTGGCATGCGATCCGTATTCCTAAATATAGGTGTCTAAGTATGTGAGGCTGCCGGCGTAATACAATAAAAAGCGCCTGCGATAGCAAAGGCAGCATACTTTGAATAATTTGTACAGATCCCGGACAAGATCATTGACGAAGTGCGCGTCTGTTATGAGGGGAAGTATGTGATCGCGGATCTCGCTGGAGAACGGAATCTTCGCCATCGGGAGCCACGCCCAGTAGAAGGGATCTGTCGGATGAAAAAGAAGCGGAAAATAACCATGGGACCGACTTAATAACCTTGGTGGGAAAACATGGGAACTTCTGCAAAGTTATCAGGAGAAGGTCAATGTGAGAGACGATTGATGGCATCGGATGAAAAAAGCACGTGATTATTTTTAACTACTCAAAAGACTTGGCCAACAATGAAACCAAAACAGCAGCGAAAGCGAAACCAAGGAACACAACTAGCTTCAGTGATTTCTGTGCGGGGTTTTGCCTGAGAACCTGATCATGATACAGATTTTCGATCTGGGCGACTCGATGAAATTCCCAATGCCTTTCAGGAAAGGATGCAGCTTACTGATAATTTTTACCAAAACATATACTAGGGAACCCAACTGGGAAGCATGGATGAGACGTATCAGGTGTGGCGCCAAATTTCTTTTAAATGGCTATAGATACTGTTGACGAAAAGGCAAATTTGATTGCCTGTCTAGTCTTTAACCGAAGCAATAAACCAAATGAAAGATACTTGGTGAACAGAAAATGCCACAGCGCTCGCATGATCCTGTACCTCTATCGGTGGGGAGCGGACGCTGAGGCCTAGCACCTGCAAACACCACCGCTAGTCCCATGGGAGGGTATAGCGCACTAATTCTGCTTTAATCAAAAGCAGTGACCTACGGTTCAGTTCGTGAGTTCATGAAATGAAGGCTGCCTAGTCGAAAAAAGCAAGCCACGCATTGCTGTGTTGCACGAAAGTACCACCAACAAATGAGAGGCAATTACAAACACCAAAACAAAGTACAAGAGTTAAAAGTACAGCCAGCGTTTAGTCACACCATTTCCAGACCTGATGCGACGACAGCAGCACTCTACCGCCACTGATGGAAAAGGTAAATTTAAAGTTTACCTCGACTGGGATTTGTGTGTGATTATAAAGGCCACGGCGTGGAATAGTTGAAGTTCACCAAATCGCATGTTGGTTTCAAACAGACAAGACTGAACGGACATGAATGATTCGAGTTGGCATTGCCACCAACCCAGGTGGAGCTACGGCGAGAAAGGGGTTGATTCGGGAGTTGCACACCTTACAAAAACACACCGAATCACAGACGATTCATACTGTTAAAAATAACACCCCTGAAGTCCCGCTAACATCATGCAGAACCCAGTGTACATTACAACAGGCTCGGAAGCAGCACACGTGATGTCAATGGAGCGGCAGAAAAGGTTTTTGTTCACTACTAGAGAAATCGGATGAACTTGGCCAGTTAACCGAACACAGAATCTTTAAAAAAACAACACAAGGTTCCCAGGTGGTGGGACGTGGCGGAGAGGTTTCAGGGGCCGAGTGAGGTTCATTCCGAATTAGCAAAAAACCGAGCCATTGCACATTGCCACAAAGAGCGACATATGGAAACAAGGAAGGCAAAGTATCTCACAAGCTCGCCACTCATCCGGGTGCTTGAACGGAAAAGCCAGACCATTGTCAATTGCAACCACGGTGACCTTGGGGATCCCCTTTTTAGGGGACGAGACGGTGGAACTGGAGGTAACACATTCGCCCTAGGATAAAAACGAAGAACGCGATTTAGGGCGCACGAAGAGACGACCAGGTTTGCAAGGCAAATTATGATTTGAAGTTATTACCAAAATTCATAAAGGTGTTTTTGTTGAATCGATAAACATCAATTAGCCCTAGGACGCTAATATGGGCAAGGCGTCGAAAAAGGTGGTATTCGCTTTCCGTCTTCAATATTTGCCTATTCGTTAGCCGGTTTTATTTTAAATTAAATGTTCACGGGCAAAATCAGGAACTAATTGACGTAACGAGCCACTTAGCAATTTTGGAAACCAATGAATGTGTGCCAAAGTAGTAAAAGTGCCTACTATTCAAGGAGTTCAAAGTTTACCAGTAAGAGTTGCTCCTGGTGATACGTTAAAAAGCCCGTGTTGTACTTTTAAACAGGGGAATAGACTTTGCAGGGTTAAATTAAGAAAAGCGGATAACACTGGTGGGAAGGCGACCCTAATTTGGGAACCACATCTTAAGCAAGTATGTTTTGATGTCTCTACGACACAAAATCTACCAAAACAACCACAAAAATGACTGCCACTAAAGGACAGCAGCCCGAAGGCACACGGTACGGGGCATGTTGCTTGAACGCAGCTTCGAAGCAGCATTTAGGGCCAAAGGACATTAAAAGGTAGTCCTTCTTAAACAAGGCGCGAAGACTGCATGACCGGGCGCAATGGTGTGGCTTTTAGCGGTGACAACAGCAAGCCCCGATTAAGGACACACGTGATGGGCGACCTACGAACAGCTGAGCAGACCAATCGAAAACGAGGGATGATTCAATTAGACGTGGCCGCTAATGAACTAAAACAACATATACCTTTGTCGACGTGGTTTCCTCGTTCACATCAGGGGGTTCATATCGAATTAGCCAATTGTCATTGCCTCGATCTAAAATCGCCAAAAACATTTCACGTGTTGTTGATAAAGACAAATACAATCTAAGGGATTCTCTTATTAAAAAATGTCGATACACCAACGAAGGGACGCACATGAACACAAATTAAGCAATTTAAAAAGTGATTTGAATGGTGCTGCTGTAGCCATAGCGATAAATACCTGGATAAGACGTTTGGTTTTGTTTAACAAAGAAACCATCACCCAAGTTACAAGCGGTGGGGAGCCAGTTCAGTCGCTGGCCGTTAACAAGAAACGCAGGTACCGAATGTCGTCGAAATACCAAGCATTTTAACAAGCGAATCATTAATTTTAAGAATAGATTCTACAGCATCTTACCAAAAACCACGCACTGCATTGCAATTTTATATTGTAAAGTTTATTTTTGATATTTTGTATGATAGGATAAATGAACAAGAAAACGGAACAAGAGACAGTGGTGGGACTTGAGCACAAACCACCCACAGACGCTGTCTACTGAGACGCGTGTTAACTGTTACCATCGACTGTCGCCCGGAACTCAGGTGTTTAACAAGGGTTTAACGTTGTTGTGAGATTACAGTGAAGTGGGGCAAACGTTGGTAAGTTGGAGCCGACAAAAGGTAACACCGAATTTACAAGGAATTACCATTTCGCAGATTAAACGAAATAACCAAAAGTTATTGAATTGATGTCATTTCATGCAGACAAAGATGTTACTACGCAGTTAGACAAGCCAAACAGTCACAGTTCTTCACCACACCACAATGTTCTTTGCACATAATTTTATGAACCTATGGGCAAAACACGCGCCGCAAACGAGAACAAGATCTTGCCGGAAAACAAATCGGCCGGTTGTCAGTGTAGGAAACGTGATAGTTAGGTTGAGCCAAGTAACCATAGCTTTCAGAAGGAAGTAAGGTGTTTACCTGTGTTGCGGATGATGTAATCGAGGACAACCAACTTTTCGAACTGGTGATGGAGGCTTTTCTGGGCCTCTTCTGGGAGGGGCTCAACCTCAAAACGATTGAGCCAATACTGGGCGTCCTGACATCCCGAAGCGAATAACTGGAAGGATCCCACCTGCGGTGAGGAAAGCAATTGGAGTTGGGCAGGTGTAATTTACTTTTCACTATACACTTGACATATCTGAAATAACTTCACACATTATTTTCACCATTTTGATCAGTGGGAAACTAGGGAACATTTGACATCAGCGATCGTGTCACTCTTAGTAAAAAACGCATTCAATAGCCATTGGGAATAGTTGACGACTAGAGTGTTAAGATTCCCACGGACAAATGCACAATGAAAACTAAATAAAATTGCGTGGATAAAATTGACTCAGGAAAGGCACAGTTTTATGTAATCTTCATTACAGCTTGGGTTCCGATTTAGAGTTTATTAAAGGACGTTTCAAGCAAAAGATTAGAACTGTTCTTATATGCTTTTAACCAAAGCGGCAAGCAAATCAGAAAAAGAAAGATTGTAGGCTTCTAAATTGACGTTTCGATTCCGCAAATTTATGACCCGAAATCATTCTTCCAGCAATTAGACTGGTTTCGATAAGCAGGACCACTTAAAGCCCAAACCCAACCATTTACCAATAGAAATGATTGCCTAATTTCCACTGGACACAATTTCCTGATAGTTTAATTTTCCTGAAATTCTACTTTAGCTGCAGGCCTTTCAAATCTGTAATGCATGAGCAGAAAAATTTGTTTCAAAGAAAGCCGGTTAGCAGCACGTGCAACTAAAAAGAGGAGCGGCGTCTAATTAGGGTAGGTTTGGTGTAGTTGCTACGTCAGCTACTTCAAAATGTGCAACGAAGTCGAAGTAGTGCTTTTCCCCCATGATCAGGCTGCTTTTCGGTACGGCAAGCAATCCGGTTAGTCATATTTTGTGTACTTTTCACGTGAGTTTACAATTGTCACGTCTGTTCATGCATGACTCCTCTTAAAGTAAACGTGCCCACAAATTCCTAGAGCCCCCTCTAATCACTCGTGTGTTTGTCCGAACATCCCCACTCCTCGATATTTTACTGTTTAACCAACCAAACTCAACATGCACTCAGCTACAGAGGCAACCGAACAGCAAACATCAACCAACAGCTAATAAAGATGAAATTATTAACATGCATTTGCCACACAGCGTTGAATACGAGATACGGAGGAATGGCGACTCACTTTGGGAGGAAGTCCAAGTCTGTGAAAATGACGCCCAATATCTGGAAAGCGGTCAGCAACTCTTTGTTTCGTTCTCGATGCTGCACGAACAGCAGCCCTGTAGTTGAACGTTGTACTTGCCAGCTTAACTACCTGCAAGGAATGAGAAGTAAAGCCTCAATTCAAACCAAAACCTGAGGCTTAATGGCCTTGACTGTCTACAAACCAACTAAAGATGAAAATAGTAACCAGTAAGCAATCCGAGGAAGAAAAAACCTGTCAACTCATCGTGGGGAGTGTTGAGAGACGGTCAAAGTCAAGATAGTAACTAGAAAGCATGATACCAAGACGTGAGGATTGACTTGTTCAAAATCAAAGTTTATAAAGATCTTATTGCACATGACATAAAAGTGTTCCCATTTCACCACGTTCTATTTAGCATTCCAGAAATATCTGACTATACGTTTATTAATAGAGGCAAAGATAGCAACTGTAACTTGATATGGTTACAGCATTAACGTAAAACGCTTCTACCTCAATACTTGAGCTAGATGCTCAACAATGCATTTATAGACGAAGTAACCACGCACGTAGTACCAGAGCACGAAATATACCACATCTCCTTCCCTAAGTGTAAATAATCTTAGCGTTAAAACGGAAGAATATGGCATACTGGCAGTGGATGCCTGCTAAGTCGAGCAAAATCCAGGAACAATTTAGCTTGCTAGAGTGGTTAAATGTCCTATAGGGATATCCAAACACACAACGGACGAAAACAAACCATTACAGTCCCAATAATAATTGCTACATGTAGTCTGGGGAGTTCTTTCAGTTAGTGCACTTAACGAACCGCAAATATATTAGTAACTACATGCTTAGACGATAAAACACATGATCAGTACAAAGGCTTAAGGGGAGGCTGCCAAAGACGACGGAGGCAGAATGGAGAGTCGATTTGAACAGGGACGAAATGTCATCACACAAATTCGTAGAAAACGCATTAGAAATTAGTTAAAAAGCCTTAATTGGTTTGGTGTCCTTTAAAACACGGAAACCAAAAACCTAAATCAGAAATAGATCCACATACATTTCCCAAACATTTACAAATACACAGGGTTATTGCATTTGAATACAAATCATCACAGGTTCAATTTTGATAGCCCATGGTTGTGCACCAATTAGACGTTCTGGATCGAAACTAAGCGATAAAATGCCACAGATGCAGCGATTGGCAATGCGGAACCGTCAAATCACACATCAAACGTTTAACATTTCTTGCAGTCCCCAATCATCCACACTCAAAGCAATGGCATCGGCGTTGTGAAACCAACCACTGGGAGCTTACGTGGCTAACGTTAAGTCGAAAACTTAATGTTAGCTGGAAAACGATTAGGAGGATGAATGTGATAAGGTTAGTAAAGAGGTTATACGTCAAAATGTAAGTACAAGAAATCCAGTTGACATCGCCCGGGACGAAAAAAGCAAATTTTGTGATTTTACGCTTAACAATCCCACATTGATTTGAATGAATTTCAAGAGACGCACAAAATTTGAATCAAATTTTAGGTTGACCGACAGAATACATGAATTCCCTAAAGATCAGCACGAGCAACCAAAGAAGAGGAACGGCACAAAAGGTAACCACTTCCCTACTAATAAATAAGAAAGATTAATTCCTGTAACTCGATTACAAAAAAAAATAATCTACTTGAAATTTCTCCACAAAAATATATACGTTCGAAACTCGCAGTCAATTTACTTGCGAAAACTCTTAATCAAATGCAGTTGCTTGCCTAATGAAAACCAACTTTGGCAGTCGCGACTATTGCTTTATGAAACTAGAAAGATATAAAACCTGCATGAGCACTTCTGTCTTATGCGTTTCGAGCACACCATGAATCACCTTCTCAACATGAATCGAGAGGGTCGATTTTAAGTAGCCTAGTCTATAAGTTGTAAAAAGTTGGTAATGGTGGTAAAATCAAAATGTCTATTTCACACAGCTTGGAATCAAAGTTGACGCGATTGAAGGGCACAAAATACGAGGTCTCTTAAAACAAGAAAAAACGAAGCATCATGAACTGGTTCATATGGACAGGTTTGATAAACTAATACAATAAGCAAGCATTTTTTTTTCATCTAACTCATATTTGGTGCACAAACACCCAAAGTTAGGATAAAATAGGTCAGATTTATGGAACAGAAAGCTCCCACGTTTTGGCCAAGAAGTTTTAAGATACTGATTCTTAAATAAGGAACATACCTTTGTAGTAGGTACAATATTCAGGCCAAGTCGTTCATCAACGAGGCTCGCGGCTACCTCTGAGAGGTAGCCTTGATTAGGCACAAGGCAACTGCGCCCAAAAAAACAGGGACAGCACAGTTTGTGCATCCACTTTGTCCATTTGGGATTTAGGTTGCCATAGGGCTCCTCGTCTTTCGGCTTAAAAACCGCGATTTTCTTCTGTGAAACGAAAATATGAAAAAGAGCAACAGATAACTCAAAAGGATATTATTTTTTAGGAAACGTTAATACCACAATTCTGCACAACTGAGTAATTGGTTGGCTACGAACAAAATCAATCTACGGATAGCACAAAACGAGTTACGAGGGTAGATAAGAGGCCGTTCGGTCAATGAAGACCGCAATGAGAAGCAAAAAGCTCCGTATTAGGGCAAATATTCCTAAATTAATAGGAATTCAAATCAAGGCACAATAACTGGCTGTGAGAACTGACTTGAAGTCAAATGTCCACAACTTAGCGCATGCTTTAATACATATTCGACTAATGGGAACGTATACACATATCTTAGTGCTTCTTATGGTCTAAAATTAATATTACCTTGCAAAAAGGTAAGTCGGTAAATGTTAAATTAAAATACTTTAGCAACAGTAAGCGAACCGACATTTAAGTGAGTTTTCAACACGTACCATTTGTGCTTCAGAATTCTATAGGATCTCAGTTTAAAACTAGCACCGTTTAGGTTATTCAAGACGCATAACTACAAAACTAACTACACTTGACACCAAAAAGGCCCATTTGCGGTCCAAAATCACCGGAATTAGTAGCTGATATGGTTTATCAAAAGATCCTTACGCCATCTCGATTCTTAACAAAATAACTGCCACTAGACCCTTGATAAATCCTTTCAGGAAAGATGTTGCGGTTAATTGCTTCAAAGGCTTCCTGCAGAACTGAATTGAAGTGGGTGCTACTCGTCGAATCTTCGGATGGAAAGGCAGGGCCGATGCCCATGAATTGCTCATCAGTAAGGAGAGGTGTTCTTTCACCATCAGCTGCATCAGTCATCTTGATCCAATTTCGTGAAAATTTGTCAGTTACTGCATCTACAAAGTGAGGTGACTTAAATAAATCTCCGCTTTGACTGACTACAAATGGAGAAGAACACAACATGGATGAACAGACATACGCCACATTTAGGAAGCTTCGATTTTCACCAGTAACCAATTAAAATTCTGTCTTCGATAAAAGCAACTGAAATTATGACACCTTGTTATTAAATTTTACTATCATTGTTATGTTTTGACTAATTTATTTTTTATCTAGTTTTAGTTGCATTAAGTAGTGTAAAATTACATTTAAATACCTACTGCTGGGATACCGTCTCAGGCAAGTAGACAATGATGTGTACACTTATAGGAAACATTAAGCACTCCATTTATCTCTAACCCTGGGAACACTAACTGAATCGTTTAGTTTAAATAAGTCTTAAAAATGATATTTATCACTTTCATTAAATTATCGGTATGTGAAATCAGCAAAAACACTTATGTGAAAAGTGATTCCATATTTGAATAATCGTTATGACTAACGGCTTAAATCGTGACGGATTTTGCCTAAATAACTTTGCAATTAAGCCTAAAAGAATAACTACCAGAATGGCTGTTAAATGTTCTGCGCAGAAGTTTTTCAATGAACTTGAAGAATCCTCAAATATTCCCCTTCAGAGCATTGTTTGGGACCTGGCATTAACAAAATTTAGCATTAATTTTTTTCTATCTATACAACACAAGCCCCTTTTTTATTGCCTGCCTTTTCAGTCAGATTGGCTTCATATTAAAAATAGCTTTTAACTGTTCGCAAAAAATATTGAGCAAAGATTTCGAAGTCGCTTTCGATTGGTTACTTAACGTAAACTACTAAGTTGTATGAATATTTAATCAATGCACATCATTTGACCTCTGGCTAAATGAGCTTTTAATTTTTCTTTATGTTCTTCCAAACATGGCCAAACTATTACGACTACATGATTGGGCTAACACGTCCACTAAACTAAAATAATTGCTTTTTAGTAAAACCTGACTAATCTTAACCATATTTTAACTAGATCTCAACACAATGCTTCTACTCCTCTCTGAAAGAATGTTTTCGTTTAAATTGATTATCAATATTTTAAACAGATGGTATAAAGTTAAGGTTGGTTTCTTAATCGCACAAGAAATGCCATAGTGTGCGACTATATCTCATTAGGTCGCACTAAAAACAAGATTATGGTTTTTAGATGGCCAATAAAGCATATCAGCAGCCTTATGCCCCCGATTGGTGGTTTTTAACACAAAAACGCACAATTTCTTAGAGAAAACGTGGTCACTCACCAAGCGAAATGTACGCATATTCTCTACGTGCTGATTTGTAAACTGACTTGGAGGGAGCATCTGACAAATTCTAGGTCCTAAGATCGAGGCGAATCTCGCAAATTTCAAAATTGAAGTAAACAAACTCATGTTTTTGAATTAATCAGAATCTCGAGCTTCATTCCTCGCGCGCAAACCTCCGCACTGTCCAACTCCTGAAACTTCATCTCTCCTTTTATAATTGGCCATTAAAATTCTGACACCCAACCATGCGTGAGGAAGGAGATACAACCATCGATTCGCAAGAAATTGCC